CTCTTAATTATTTCTGTGTTTGATTATAAAGGTACCAGGAATCTCGTATCAATATTCACTAATTTTGAAAAAAAGGGGGGAGTAGAAACGAAGAATCTGAATTTTAGAACAACATTAATTGCAGAGTGTAAAATTTCCATTTTTCTAAACAGTCGAGAATAAAAATGAGAAATCTGATTTCTAGAACAAATTTTATTGCACAGTGCAAAGTTTCCACTTAAAAAAAAAAAAATAGGGAATAAAAACAGAGAACCAGAAATTTGAAGCAAACTTCTCAGTTTTCAAAAAGAGAAAAGTAGAATTTCTAAACAGTCGAGAATAAAAATGAGAAATCTGATTTCTAGAACAAATTTTATTGCACAGTGCAAAGTTTCCACTTAAAAAAAAAAAAATAGGGAATAAAAACAGAGAACCAGAAATTTGAAGCAAACTTCTCAGTTTTCAAGAAGTGAAAAGTTAGAAGCGGAGAATTGAAATTTTGGGTGCGTAACAGTGTAAAATTTCCATTTTTCAAAAAATCGAGAATAAAAATAAGAAATCTAAACTTTAGACCAAATTTTATTGCACTGTGCAAACTTCTCATTTTTCAAAAAGTGAAAAGTTAGAAGCGGAGAATTGAAATTTTGGGTGCGTAACAGTGTAAAATTTCCATTTTTCAAAAAATCGAGAATAAAAATAAGAAATCTCAACTTTAGACCAAATTTTATTGCACGGTGCAAACTTCTCATTTTTCAAAAAGTGAAAAGTTAGAAGCGGAGAATTGAAATTTTGGGTGCGTAACACGGTGTAAAATTTCCATTTTTCAAAAGATCGAGAATAAAAATAAGAAATCTAAACTTTAGACCAAATTTTATTGCACTGTGCAAACTTCTCATTTTTCAAAAAGTGAAAAGTTAGAAGCGGAGAATTGAAATTTTGGGTAGACAACACCGACGCACAGTGTAAAATTTCCATTGTATACTCGAGCACAACTTTCTTCCGCTTCACACGGCAATCGTGTATTTTTCCATGGTCCTCGAACTTTCCGAATTTACTCGTCGCCTGATCCGAGATACACGGAAATATTGTCTGCCAGGAAGATAAGGAACTCGACGAAGTACGTCACCGTGAAACTTTAAGGATGTTTGTCATTCACGATGACATAACTAAACACGGACACGCGTTTCCAGTTCCTCTAATATAACCATAACGATTAGCACGAACAACAAGTTCAATTCACAAGGAAACCATGCCACGTAAGCTCACAGTTGAACAAAGAGGATCTCTTTAGTCTGATTAATTTCTATCGTTTACCTGCTCCACGTGTAGCTGGAAAAAAAGTGTGCTTCTTTTTTACCTTACGTTCTTCCATTCAATTATTCATACGATTTCTGTAATTAGAAACAGCAGAAGTATTCATGTGTTTCTATAGATGGAACTGGTACAGCCTTTTAGGCTAGTTTCTTTAGATTGACCCATTCATTATGCACGATTCCATAGGCTGAAGAAAAAGCGTGCTTGTTCTGAGGTAATTTGTTGTTTCATCAAGGTTTGCGTAAATCACCCTGCGATTTTCTTCATTTTGTGACGAAAGATAATTATGGAAAGCGCAGAATGGGTTTGTTTGTCTGAAATTTGAACGACACTTTACCATTTAAAAATCGAACAACTTTCTGTCTATCGTTAGTTTCAAAATTTGTTTCACAGTTTGCAAAAAATTTTGCACCTTGTGTAATCGATTATCGAAAAAAAAAATTGAAAATTGATTTGGTAGAAATGGAGAAAATAATATTTACAAT